ATTGCTACATACAAAGCCCTATGTGCGAGGAATCAAGATTTGGATAAAATCTCGGCTGGTCGAGATGAAATGGCACGGAATATATTAAAAGAACATATGTGTTTTCAAAAAAAAAAGTTACAAAATAACATAAGAAGCCCACATGAAAGCCATCGGCTTATGTTCGAGCTTCCGCACAGAATCCATGCAAAATATAAGAGCGTGGGTAGCAGTATGTTTCCAGATAAGCTATGGTAATGATTAGGTTGTCACACGGAAGCCAATGGCTTGTATTTAAGAGCCGAAATTCTATCAATCTTTGGCATACTTTTGGTGGGCGTTCGCTGTTTTTATTTTTATCATGATATTGATGCAAGCTATGATGATTATCAGGGAATCGTCATCTTTGTAGCCTTGATGAAGCAGTCCTTGATGTTCATCATGGCTTGTATCATACACCCCGTAACAATATTTTGTACAAAAGCTCTGCAGGCCTACCAATAAAGCTCTTACCAACCAATCGCCTTCGGCAGCATAGTAAACATGGTTCTTTGTTTCTCACGTGTATTAAAATAAACCACATAATTTTATTATCTTCTTTTCGAAAACACTGGCGAAAAGCGAAGCTGGTGCCCCCCCCTTGATCAGGTCATTGTAATTCTACGCGATTTAGGTTTTCCGTTCATTGGCGCTCAGCATAGCCTTTCTTGCAAAAAATCACCGGTGCCTTAGCTTCGACATGCCCGTTCCCACCCTAGCTTACGCTTCTAACGTGCAGTAGCTTTGTTTTATTGAGCACCATTGGTCATTATAAAAGTGCAAACTAACAAATAACCAACGCCCTCCTGTGGACACCGAGATACTCACCCATTATCCGATGACCATTTATACAAGTCAACTAATACGTTCAGAAAGACTACAGCGCACTGGAAACAAACTTTCGAAGTGCTTACGCGAACGGAGAAGCCGGTGAGAACGAACCATGTATTGTCTCCCGTTGTACTGGTCGGCGCACGAGCATGCTATAAGCCAGTGAAAATTTGGCAACTGTGGGGCGTACATATCTCTCGTAACTTGATTTCATTGAACGGTTCTTTAAAGTGACTGTAAAGTGAAACAAATGTTGCTCTCGATTTAAGAAACGTTGTCTGAAAAGTATAAACGTTGTCAATCTTGCTTTCATAAGTTCATAATTACAGGAGAGAAAAATGCTCAAAATACAGTTTCTAAATTTCGCTATGAAACGTGCATCCGTGACGTGACGAATGTCAAAGTGTGTCTATTTTCTCGATATTGGCACGATGAAAATTCCCTGAAACTTTCTATGATATATAGGCCTCTCACTCCATCAGCAGACATTTTGCTTCATTTTTCACCTATTACGAGCCAAGCAGTCAGGCGCCCTAGTAAACACCATCAAACTTTATGACATCACGATGATTAGAGCAGGAACTTCAAAGCGACATCGTGACCCAAAGTTTTTTGCACGTTTTCTTGCTTACCAAGCCTCCTCTCGGGGTGAGGGCGGTGGTTGCGGAACAGTGTAAGGGTAACTTAATAATAACTAAAATACTTTTCCTCATTAGCATCTGTTTTAGAAGATAATAAACTTTCAGCCACCTCATTGGCGTTTGGCTGGCATATGCCAATTATGTCGAAGACCGAGCTTGTAACGTGGGTTGGGTAGGCACGGTGAATTACTGGCAGTACCGACTGCTATTTTCTTTGTTGCGTAAATGCTTGTAAAAAAGAAACAATTAAATAGAGTGTCATTTGGCACTCTACTGAATTGACACTTACATTGAGGGTTAATTTAATATAAGTGTCACCTTATAAGAGACTGTGTAGGTCATGTGCTTGCGAAGGTACAATTATATGCACTAAGTTGCTGCTTACAAAACTTACCCCCTAATGTTTATAAGTAATTGCAGGGAAAATGCACATCACAGACCATGATGACGAATTTTCGAAGGATTATTCCATATGCGGGGGGTTCATGAGCAACGTGGCGATGACGTGCAGTGCGAAGGGTTTCTTTTTTTTTGTTCTGTGTGCGGATCAATGTGTGGGGTGCGTGTTCTAACCTGTAGAAAACGTGTGACGCTAAGCCCATGTAACCACCACTACGTATACATCCACTATGCACGGCCTTTCTCCCACGGCGTGATAGGCCGTAGGAGCCGAAGTGAAACAAAGAACAAAGAGAAGACCTTGAAAGCTAAAGGCGAACAAATGCTGCTTGTCGGAAGAGTTAAACGACGGAAGTTTCAACACGTTTTGCGGATGTATAATCTTTTTTTGCCACGTAGGTTTTCCCGAGAAGAATAGCTTTGCTGTGGAATGGCCTGTTGACGTCGACTTCAGAATACTGACGGCTGTCTTTCGTACTTCTCAGAGGCACATAAGACATTGCTTTTAGAGAATCAGCTTTAGTATGTAGTTCGACCATGAAATTATAAATGGTATAGCAGCATAGAAAATGTGGTAAGCAATGAACGCTGAGGCAACGCTAAATCGCATTTGCACACGTTCAATAGTGTGAATGTGTTCTTGTCCGAAAAATGTGAATTCTCTTTTGTGGCAAACCAGTGGCGTTTTTTTTTTCGTTACCGTTGCGTACGAAGCCCAGAGTGAGACCTCAATCGCATCTCCCTGCCCGGCCCCCACTTCTGATAAAGGATCCAACCCCTCCCTGAAAACTATTTTTGCCTAAGCCCCTGCCACGAATAGAAATGAGCGAACTTCCATTCCATAAAGCACCGTCGGCAATGACCTAATCACACGAATGCATTGCTTTTTGTACAGAAGAGTGTGCATCTAGATTGTTGTGAGCCAGGTAATTGTTCCAGCCACTCCTTCTCAATATCGAAGTGATGACGGTGTTTACGTTTTTTGGTGCTTCGTCCCCGTGTTACACTTCTGAGCAGCATTTTCTTTTGTTTGTTTAGTTGCTTTAGAATTTATTTCGGCATAAATTCTATTTCTTATACGAGGTTCCTCGAAAAAGCACTTTGAGTCAATGCTAAGATTGGGCAATACTAGTAAAAACATAAACAGTGACAGCTTTAACGAACGAGCTCATTGTTTTTTTTACATTAGGTCCCTGACTTTGGCTATCAAGAAATTGGAACACTCTTGAGCTTCGCCTTGAAGAGCAGCTCGCGAAAGCGCAATCGGGTGTCATGCACATCGCATTCGGAACTCCTAGCTTGCTTCTGCTCTCGGTGCACGCCTCGATGGTGTAGTAAGGAAACAAACAACTGTGCACGTAACACTGACCGTTCACAAGTATCCAAGAACACCTACTGCATGCACAGTTTGAATTACCCAGTAGGACATAATTATTCCTTTTGCGAATCGGCGGAACACCCTATACTGCAACTCTCGAGCCTACGCAGCTGTTGAGCTTGGTGAAAGCTCTACTGCTGAGGATCGAAATGCCCGAGTGCTTTATGATGGAAGATCCTTTAGAACACCCACTCTTTTCTGAATACACTGTTTTGACGCCTGCCGAGAATATCCACGTCTCTTATGTGGGATGCCCCAAGAATACTCATTCCACTAAAAGATGTAATAACGGTGTTCTTTTCCAAAGTATCTTTAACAAACACGGTGGCTTTGCGGTTGAGCTTATGTACTCCGTCTGTCTGTCGTTTTTACCTTTTCCGTTGCTTTTGTGCTCAGTAGAGCACCTGCTAGCCGCGCAGATGACTTGGGTGTGATCGTCACTCGGCAGAGAGAATTTTTACTGTTTATTTTATTTGCAATTTTTTTATTTTTCGCTCACTGACAAGGTGTTGATTTTCGCTGAGAACCAATGACAACGACACTGATGTCAATATTTCTGCGAAACGAGCTTTTTGCCGCTCTTGCGGTGAAGTGTGGGCCCGCAAATACATTTTCTTAGGTTCATGTTAGCGTTACACCTGCTACCAAAGTCCGCCGCAGGTGTCGCGAGAATGTAGAAAGCTTCATAGCTCTGCAATGGGGTAATAAAATTACGCGCACCACGTGAGAAGTCGATTTTTTTTTAAGTAATGAAATCACTTCACTTAAGGTGGAAGACTAGATTCCGACAGTATAAAAGATAACGTGGAAGATCAGCCGACCGATAATCGATGATTGTGTTCGCCCCTATATTTGCACTGAGTAATGTTTTCTTTTTTGCGGCCATCGCAAAATGAAACAACGCCTTGCTTAGCAGAGTAATCTTTACGTAATAAACTGTTTCAGAAGGAGTGCTGGCGATCATAAGCGGCTGTTCTATCTTGAAAACAAACTCAGTGCTACCAAAAACAATGTTCGCAAGGTCAATGCAACACACAAATACGATAAAAAAATAAAATAAAAGAGCGTGTTGCAGAAACAATGGCCATTTCTGTGTATAGTTCATTCCCAGAGGATACAAAGAAGTGCTTTATTATTGGATGGACACACGTAGAGGAAAGATGGCGACGAGGAGGTTCCAATGGACATTCTTTGTCTGCGTCAGCCTTTCGCGTTTTCAATACCCCGCATAAAGGACTGAGTTTGAAGCGAACACTGATTAATGTTGAAAAAGTACACAAATGAATCAATGAATAAATAAAAGCGGTTGTGAAAGGCATGCACATGCCAAGCTTCCCTTGCTCACACTTTCCCCGTAGGGAAGGCTTTGTTATGTTTACCCCACCGGTATGTTGAAAAGATTAAAACAGGGAACTCTTCTGCCAAGGAAACGCCTCTGTTTTGACGAGTGCAGTGTAATTAAGAAATATCTAGCACGCTGTATTGCGCAAAAGACATTTTCCTCCAATGTTACAGAAGAGCACGAGGAGACTGGTTGCCCGAATTGTGCTTGCAATGACATAATAACCTTGAGCTATTTTTTACTCGACTTGCCCGTTCTTGAAAATGTCGTACCATACAGTACGTCATACCACAAAGCATAGGCGTCTTGAAACGCATTCTTCCATAAAAATATAAATTGCAAATGAAATGTGCAAATCACTAAGCAGAGTTTAGCCAACGATGAACCTTACCTATAAGAGATGGTTTGGCGAAGGAGAACGTGGCCGACAAGGCCGTCAGTAGGCCCGTTGCTACGGCGATTCTGTCGAGCCCGACACAGTCAACGAGTATCACGGGAAACAGGACGACGCCACTGCCTAGCAGGAAGGTGACAGCCGCGGCCAGTCCGAACAAGGACCCGTACCCCGAGCACTGCGGCATAATGACGTACATCAGTCCGACTAAGGCCAACACCATGGCCATCAGAGTGCGCCTGGTGAGCAGCCGTCGGTCGGCAAGGACGGGTAACCCTAAGCGGCCCACGAGGTCGGCGAGAGAGCTGACAGACGTCATCGTGACTGCGCTGCTCTGAGCGATTCCTCTGTCTACGGCGAAGTCAACCAGCAGCGAGTTGTAGCAATCGTAGCCGAGGTTGAAGGCCACGGAGGAGAACATGACTAGATACAACATGGGAATCTGCAGCACGTCCAAACCGCACAGCAGGGAGATATTTCTACGGTGTTCATGCACGACTACAACGGCTTGATCCAAACGTGTTTTGGCTTCAGGGTCCTTGGAATCTGGACAGAGCAGTAAAATTGTGAATTACACTTAAGGGTACATGAGATAAATTCCTATGAAAATTGGTTACTGCAAGTACGCTTTGTTGAAATAAGGTTATCATCAGTTTTCTTTTTTTTGTGTGTGTACACATAAAGAGTATCAAAGGAGAGCAATGCAAGGACAAGCACTTTCTAAGAATTGGTTTAATATTTCAAAAGTATCCGTTGTGTTCACTTGTCTTGTAGCGCTGATCTGTATCCTCTGAAGCGAATATTTTTGATAAAAAAAGAGAACAGTTTCGTAAAAAGCACTAACTCTCAATATGCTCTTCTTTGTTCCTGTGTTTCTGTACTAAAAAAACATTGTAAAAAGTTTTTACGTCAAAAGGATGACATTCATTTTAACGGTCGTCGTAGCTCTTGAAAGGCAGGCCGTCAAATCAAATCAGTTGCGAGGTATTGAGTGAGTCTACAGTTTTAGGCAGTTTAGCTAACGCTTTGGCAGTAGGACAGCTTGAACTTGAAAACGAAACGGCAGGAGCAGAAAAGCTTCTTGAACATGCATAAGAAATGCGTTGATAATAGAAGAAAAAGAATCCACGCATCATGTCGAGTAGGCGAAGGTCTGGGTATTGTATTAGAGAGTAACCGAACGTTACTAGTGTGTTGTCCCATATAATGTAAATTGAGCCATGTAAAGTGTATGTAGAATGGTATATTTATTTCGCCTTCCAATAGTTTTAGGTCATTCAAGGAGGATTAAGAAAATAACGGGAGTGGAGGATACGCCTCGAAAGTGAATCCAAGAACCAGTCATCTTATCGATGGTTGGATAACATTTTACTATGGGTAATTTGTTGGCACATGCAGTTCTCAACGTGTGCGTTTGTGTTACATGGGGCCTCAGGAAGCCTCAACGTCTAGGCACGTTTTAGTAAAGATCAACTCATCAATACTTTTCTCGGTAGGTTATTTTTGCCGAGAAGACTGATCTCGTAACTTATAACTAGCCTATGCTTGCGTTAAAGTATATTGTATAGCTTTTTTTTGCGTCGCACATAATTTCGACTACACTAACGGCTCTATACAGTAAGCACAACAAAAGACAAGGCTATAGGTCCCATGGAGCTCCCCTTCTAATAAAAAGCAGTGTGATATTAGCAATATTGTTATAGGGGATCCCGTATATGTCGTTAAAACGTCGTTGAAAGGGAAACTCGTTAACTATCAAACGCTTTTTTTTGTCTTTCTTCTTCCTGAAGCTTTCAGGAGGCGCCATTTCACATTTTTAATCTACACGCAGCCTCCCCATAGTAAAACACCTGTCTTACAGCATCACCCTGTTGTCTTTTGAGCCTCAGTTTATCAATTTCTGAGATGGCTTTATATCATTTCTTGCACAAAAAAGTTCAATTTGAGTACATGTTTAATTAGAAATACCTGTTAGAAAATGTATCTTGTAAGCTCTTTGCATTGACAAGAAATAAATAAAACTACGCCTAGATACTGGACACAAGGAGAAAGAAGTCGGTTGGAGGAGCGCACACTCAAAACAGCGCTGGTCGCATTCACTTGCGACAGTTGTTAGTCTGCGCTGGTCCCGTTGACTTATTTCTCCTTGTGTCCTGTATCTAGGCTTAGCTTTGTGTTTTCCATTTCTCACCAACTAGATCCCCACCAAACATTCCTTCATTTCACCGACCCGGGCTGGCATTACGAAGTGCGCCGTGTGGCGTCTGAAACTTATGAACTACCATCGTGCTGTCTCTTTTGAAACAGTTTAATACAAGAGCGGATGCGCTTCTCTGCATAGACTAGCATCCAACGGAGCATCAAGGCAGTCACTTTGCAAATGTGTTTACACTAGGTGACGACGAAGCATTTCTTGTCAAAATTACTCCGTATACTGAGAGCGTGATTGCCTCGACTCCAAGACTTGCGTCTTTTCAACCAGAAATTCTGTCCGAATTGTTGGATTTGATCATCGCCACTATTACTTCGCGCAATGCCAATGGCGCAAATGCGGCGTTAGGGGTTCGAAATGTATATTCTACACAGAAGGGGATGCGTTCAAATTTCTGCACTTTGCTATGAGACACGCTAGAACTAGCACGGATTGCAAAATTCACCCACCAGGGAAGGTCCAGTGATTACAGTTTCAGTTTCAGTTTCAGTTTATTCATTCATTCAAAATACAAAATTCGTAGAATGTAGTATGCAGACGAGGGTCCCAAAGTCAAGCGACTGCAGTGGGACCCTCGGTTAACAATAACAATAAAATTGTTAATTATAACAGCACGTAAAATACGCAACACATGTGAGAAGTAAACAGTGACCTTACATAAAATAACATCAAGTAAACAAAAAACGCCGTCAGAATGCGATACAAGAACAATAGTAATAAGTTATACAAGTAAAACTTAATCACGCCATAAAGCAATAACCTAAATTTGCAAAGACTTTCCAATTTCATGCCCGGATACATAAGAATCGTTAGGTAATCATCGTTGTCAACCTAGTTATGCAAGATGAAGTTTTTAGGATCATGTTTGAATGCATGAAAAGATGATGATGATTTTAGTGTATAGGGCAGGTTATTCCACAATTTAATGATTGCGAATGCGGACGTCATTTTGCCATAACTGGTGTTACACTTAGGTAAAATGAAGTTGTGACTGTGGGCGAATCCAGTGCTATTGGTGTTATTGAGTAAACTAGCATCGATTAAATCAAACACAAGCTGTTTGTTAAGTTGTTTATATAACAATCTGATTAAGTGAAAATTAAATAAGCCAGACACAGTAAGAATACAGTTAGCCTGAAGGAGTGGGGTAGCATTAGAATAAGATGAACTGTTGGTAATAATGCGAATAGCCTGATTCTGAATGTGCTGTACAGACGAAATATGAAAGTTATATGTATTTCCCCATGATGTAATGCCATAGGTGATGTGACTATGTATGAAGGCAAAGTATAAAGACAATAAGGCTTCAAGTGAAAAAAAAAGGACGAGATTTGCTGAGTGATCCTATACCAAATGCTGTTTTTGTTTGACGTAAAGAATATGATTGGTGAACTTTAAATGAGGGTCTAATTTTACGCCCAGAAAACACACACAGTTAGACGCAGGAATGAAATGATTCAATGAACACTTGTGGAATAAAAGGTAGCATTTTTTGTGATGTTTTAAAAACCATGAACTGAGTTTTTAGCGGGTTTAAAATTAAGTTGTTTAAGCGACACCATTCAACGACATTAGTCAGTTCTTTATTCAACATATTGATCAGAGTAGGTAATGATTTCTGCGAGATGGAAATGGTCGTATCATCAGCGTAAAGAATAACTTTAGAATCTTGAAGGCAGTCAGGCAAATCATTAATTTAGATGCAGAACAGTAAGGGTCCAAGAATAGAACCCTGTGGGACCCCTTGAATAATTATTTTAACATTAGAATTAACGTCCCCAATGCAGACTGATTGTTCACGATCAAGAGGGTAGTTTTTTATGAAAGACAAGGATGGGCCAGTGATACCCAAGGACTGTAATTTGCTAAATAAAATATTATGACTAATGGTATCAAAGGCTTTCGTGAAATCAAGAAATACAGACCCTGTGAAATTACCGCTCTTGATGGACGTTTTCAAGAAATCGGTTAATGATAGCAATGCTAAATTCGTAGAACTACCAGCCCGGAAACCAAATTGACAAGGCTTTAACCGCTTAAATTTATTGATGTACTTGTTATTACGTTTCAGAAATAATTTTTCAACAAGTTTGCTGATGGAAGACAAAATAGAAATAGGGTGGTAGTTACGGACATCTGTCGTATCACCTTTTTTGTGTACTGGGATTAACTTGGCTTGTTTCAGTGAGCTCGGAAATATACCATGTTTAAAAATGACATTAATTATATTGCTTAAGACTTCTGAGATGTCTGGAGCAGCAAGTTTTAAATGAAATGCCGATATATCGTCTAGTCCAGCGCTACAGTTTTTTAGACTCCTGATTGTAGAATAGACTTCGTCAATGGTAACAGGAAATAGAAAGAATGATTGGATACAGCGGGTAAGGGTGTACGAGGATACTTTGGGCCTATCATTGTATACTTCATAAAAGTAATCACTAAAAGGCTCGGCTATGTCAGAGGACTCAGAACAGATTTGCTCTTTATACCTAAATTTATCAATTACATTACTAACCTGAGGTCCGTTTAAAAAGTCATTGAAGAGTTTCCATTTTTTCTTTGGGTCAATTTTTGCTTTACAGATTTCTTTTTCATAATAAAGTCGTTTTGATTGTTTCAGCAGTTTATTCAACATCTTATTATATTTTTTATAGCTAAGTCTCTAATTCACATTAAATGGCTGCTTTTTAGTTTTCCTGTAGAGATTATCTTTTTTCCGCATGATAGTTAACAAGCTTTCAGTTAACCAGGGATTACGTTGAAACCTATATATTTTCTTGCATTTAACAGTTTTAGTGTTTGCATGCACAGCTTTAATAAATAGGAAGCAGAAGTTGCCTTGTGCTTCTTCAGGATTTTTTAAGGTGCTAATAGAAGACCACTCAGAGCCTTGAATTGCCTTGATAAAGTTTTCCTGATCGAAGGTTGACGTGAAATGGCACGTGTTAAGGCGAGGTAGATTTACGGCGAAAGTTACAAAGACAGGATGATGATCAGTGATGCACACATCAATGACTCCTGCGCTAAGGGTTGGCGAAAAATTGCTTAATACGTGGTCAATGAGTGTGCTTGTTCCAGTGGGTGAATATCGAGTAGGGGATGAAATTAAGGATTCAAGCTAGAAGCCAAGAAAACAATCACTATATGCTATGATGCTGTTGTTATCTGTATCCATTAGGTTAGTGTTGATATCACCAACCAGAACAACTCGCTTATTTTCTGCGGTGATAATGTCGAGTACAGCAGCTAAATTATGTAGAAAATGCGGAATAGACGAAGATGGAGAACGGTAAATGCATGCAATGATCACTTTTTTAGATTAACAGAGGAGGGGAAGGCAGCCTCGATCCATACAGATCCACAGTTTGGAATATTCAAAGATAGGTCAGTCCTGCGCTTGTACTCTATCTCGGGTGATATAAATATGGCCGGGCCGCCGTAGCGACCCGAATCGTGGTGACAATATTCAGAGTTAAACGATCGAAATCCGTACAGATTGCCATTACAAGATCCTAACCATGTTTCAGTAATACATAAAAATGAAAAGGATTGACAGAGTAAGTCAGTGAACCCCATAATGTTATCGTAGTTTTTTGGCAAACTACGCGCATCGATGTGCAGCAATGAACAAGTAGAATTAGCAAGGAGGGATTTAGTTTCCTCGAAAGGAAGCAACGACATGATGATACACGACGAAATCTATGAGGTGGGAAAAGCGAACTGAATTTGTCAACGTCACGTGAATAAGTTGAGATCAGATTCCGTATTAATCCAAAATACCCTTCTGTCCTCTGTCTTGCGGGCCTTGATATGACAATGCTCTGTCCTGAGGAGCTGTTATTTCTTTTCCTTTTTTAGAACAAGCGCTTCACTAAACAGCTTTTTATTGGCAATAATAAAATGTTCATTGACAAAGACTGGATTGTCATTACTTCCGGATAGTCCTAACTGGGAAGCACGCAGTCGCGCCTTACGCGCTTTGCGAAGAAACTCATTTTTCTTCTCGCGTGAACAAAAGCGCGCGATGATGCACATGTCAGCGCACAGTGCTTGACAAGACACACAGGTCTTGGGATCAAATCCCTGTCTCGGCGGTCACTTTTTAGAGGCGAAGCTTCTTAATGTGTGGGTCTGTCCTTCCTCCTGTTCTTGTCGTGCGTAGGCACCGGTGGCATATACCGCTCTTAAGCAGGTATGCGCCACAGGGGATGAGAGATGGGAGAGGGCGGTACTTGGAGTGTTCACTAGATGGACACACGGATAGACACATGGACGGACGAACGAACAGACTAGCAGACTGACGGAAGGATGGATGAACGCGCGGAGTTGGTATGTGCGGCAGGAAAAGTGAGATGCGAGGAGGCGGTACTCGGAGTGTTCACTAGATGGACGCATGGATGGACGGACAGACAGACTAGAAGACGGACGGACAGATGGAAGCATGCGCAGACGTACGGGCGGATGGACGCACAAACAGACGGACGGATTAACGGACGGACAGATGGACACACGCATGGATGGACGCACGTGTCGTCAGGCGGGCGGACGGAAGCAAGAAAGAACGGACGGATGGAAGCACGGACGGCTGACGGACGCTTAGCCCCACTCATCATCATTCACTCCGTGGATATGCTCGAAGCCTATCTATTTGGATGTAGGTGTACATTGAAGAACCTCAGGTAGACAAAATTTCTACAGGCCTCCACTACGACGTCCCTCGTAATAAAAAGGCAGTTTTGGTATACGTCAAACCACAATTCTTTGCCATGTTCTTCTTCTTCCTAATAATAATAATAATAATAATAATAATAATAATAATAATAATAATAATAATAATAATAATAATAATAATAATAATAATAATAATAATAATAATAATAATAATAATAATAATAATAACAATAATAATAATAATATTATTATTATTATTATTATTATTATTATTATTATTATTATTATTATTATTATTATTATTATTATTATTATTATTATTATTATTATTATTATTATTATTATTATAGCTCAACTCAAGCACGGACATATGTTTTGTGACCATTTAAGTGGGTAAGTATATGTTACCCGCACGTATCTTTCTATGCCGACTAAGGCTGCCACAAGCGCTAACTTTTGGGAAAAGCGATACATGTATTTAATGGTTTCATTGCCTGAATTAAATCTCAAAAAGCAACATTGAACGAACACTAGCTTACCTGTATCTCGACCCACAGGAATGACGTAAGGCAGCTGCGCCGAAGACTTCTCGTCAGTGCTATCCACAGTGATGAGTGACTCCACCGAAGTGCCGCATCGCTTGAGCCAGTGGGGTTGACGAAGGAAGAGGCTGAAGGCAGCCGCATTCAAGATGACAGCGCCGAAGATTAGCATTGCTTCTTGGAAGCCGTACCATGCGATCAGCTTCTCAATTAGTTTGGGGAAGACGAAGCTGCCTAGCGTGGAGCCGGCAAAGCACACACCCGTAGCCATCGTTTGGTACTTCACAAAGTGTTCGCTGATCAGCACAGGGTTCATAGCATACACAATTCCAGAGCCGAAACCTGCCAAAAAAATACACCCGGCATAAGATCAGCAAGTTGTACAAAAAATATTACGTTGTAATGCGTGGTTTTTGAGAGAAAGAGAGTGACAAAGAGGAAGGTTAATTATATGCTAGCAGACAATTTGCTACCGAGCATTGGGGTGGGAAACTGCAGATGACAGTGTAGGTGCTGTTTTGTCTTTTGTTTTCTTCTGCGGTATGATCGGCTACCTGAGGATAACATTTCCCATAGCGCAGTCAGAAAATTTTTGTATTAATACAGAATGGTGACAGTATTTAGACTAATCACTACCGCTTCTTTACAAGAAAAAATTGTGGCAACTAATACGTTGAGTATGTGTCCTGTGTGAGCTACAGTTAGACGGAATGAGCCAAAACCGAGTGAATAGCCACGTCCGGCAAGCCGTGGCTGAAACTAAGACTCGTAAAGCTCCTTCATCTTGGGAAAGTACCGTCAGCATTTCTTTGCGAACTTCGGCGACTTTGAGCGTATCTATCTATCTATCTATCTATCTATCTATCTATCTATCTATCTATCTATCTATCTATCTATCTATCTATCTATCTATCTATCTATCTATCTATCTATCTATCTATCTATCTATCTATCTATCTATCTATCTATCTATCTATCTATCTATCTATCTATCTATCTATCTATCTATCTATCTATCTATCTTGCCGCCTACGACATTTAGCTCTCCAGGCCGTTTCAATAATGGTAACAATACCAAACTTCGTATGGCATAACATGACTGTATGAAGAACATATTTATCTAGTCAAAACATGAAAATCATGATGTTTACGTCATGAATATCATGATTTACACTTCGTGGTCCTGCAGCTCTTTCAGTGGTTTCATTCACATGGCATGTTGCAAAACTGGTTGGTTTGGCATGATTGCATGGCGAACACAAGCGACAGACCCTAACATGAAAATTAAGACATGCGTGTCATGTAACAACATGACTACATACCACGCTCATGATGCGCTAGCGGCCGTTTCTCTAGGGTCACATATACCAAAATTGTTATTACAGTACGTGAATGGATGACGAAGGAATGTGACTGGTACAAACATGATAATCATGAGATGCGTGTCATGTAACAACATAACTACATGCCACGTTCATGATGCGCTGTCCACCCTTTCGCTCGCTTCATTTACACCATATTTGGTATGACGGGACGTGAATGGATGACGAAGGTACGATACTGGTGCAAGGATGATAATCATGACATGCGTGTGATGTAACAACATTACTACATGCCACACTGATGATGCGCTCGCAGCCATTTCGCTTGCTTAAGAAATACCAAATTTAGTATTACCTGACGGCAATGAGTGACGAAGGTATGTGACTGGTGCGAACATGATAATCATGAGATGCGTGCCATGTGAGAACATGACTACATGCCACAGTCAAGGTGTCAATACATTTCGACGTGACGCGGTGCACGTACTCGCTGGCGTTCATTTCGTCACGCCGGCGTTGCCATTCCAGGCACCGGTCCTGTCATATACTCGCAGGTGCGCGCTGCGCTGCGTTGCCTTGACGCATGCGCGTTTCAACGCATTCGGCGTCCCTCCATCACGAAAGAGAGGGAGACGCAGTGTTGTCTCAGTTACACATAGGCGCGAAATGCAGCATGGTACAATTTGCACCGGTGGCCGCGCTGACGGATGCTGGTCGCGCCTGGCGTCAGATTATAGAGTGCTCGTGTTTCGCTAACGTAGCGTCACTGTGTACAGCGTCCGTGCGCATCAGCGCTACATTGGAGTATATTGAGGCCTTCATGACGTGCTCGCCGCTGTTTTGCTAGCTCCATCTACACTGTTACGCCTGGGAGTCCACACCAAATGTCAATGCCTCTGCAAAGGCAATCTGTTTCAAGGCCAGTGGTCGAGCCTGCCTGACGCGGTCAACTTAACGACGTCATCAAGCGGCGGCGCTGGTCTGTCTTACGCCACGCGCTGCGAGCTCCCTCAGCTTAAGAGCCCGATGAAGCAATCGGTGCCTTCCAGTCTGGCTTGTATTACGCAATGCGTGGCAACCTAACTCGTCTTTGGGTGCAACCTAGCGCAGCGGCTCCGGATTCGATGCTGATGGCGCAGCCCAGCGGCTCCTATTGGAGGATTCTGACATCACGGCCAGCGACGCTTCTGGTTGGACGTTGGTGACGCAAAGGTCCACCGTGTGCCTATAAAAATATGGCAGCATATCCACGACCTAAATGATGGAGAGTGAGGCGAAGCATCCGTCCGTCCATTCTTTACGGTTGTCACTACGGTTGTACTACGGACCTACGGACCATTGTCACTACGGACCATTCACTACGGTTGTCATTAAAGGCCCGTTCCGTAAGCTTTGCACCGAAGCAGCTGTGTCTGCCGCGCTTCCCGATCGTTTTCTTGATCTTTTTTTTAATAACTCTGAACAGGTCGTCAAAGAGCAAGGTAAATCATTCTTCGCCAACTTAGCGTACATGGCCCTCACGCGATACCAAGCGCCGAAGCTTTCGCAGGAACTTGATCTTGTTCAATGTGGTGAAACACCACCTCCAAAAGCTGCTGATCTTTGTGACCTTGGCGGCGAGTCGATGGAAACTCAGACAGAAAATTTTCCGTGTAAGTCATTTGAGCAGTCACTCGAGCGGCCCGTTGCCGAAGCGACTGGAGTGGTCTCTGTCGGTGGAGGAGACGACATGGCACCATTGAGTCAGAGCGATAGGGGTGCAACGCTCTCGCCTGTAGCGGAAAGTTGGAATGGGCTGTCGAAGGTTCATCGAGAAACACTCATTCGAGAGCAGTGTGAAGACTTCTCGAATAAAGCGCTATTGGAATGCGTAAACTAGGGAAAAAATGAAGGTTTCTTTATTTGAGAAGGCAGGGCTCCTGTATCAAAGCTACACAACTGTGCAAGGTCACAAGTATGAGCAGCTCTTGGTGCAACAAAAGTATCGTAGCCAGCTAATAAAACTGGCGCATGAAAATGCGTAGGCAAGGCATCTCGGAATAAAAAAGAGCAAGGTTATTGTTTCCCTTTAGTTTTATTGGCCGAAATGCTGGAAGCATATCGAAGACTTTGTACGCTCACGTGAAACTTGTCAGAAAGCGGGGAAATCCATGTACAAGTGGAAGGTACCCGTGAAGCTTGTGCCAATTATCACAGATCCTTTTCGGCACCTAGTGATTGATATCGTCGGGCCATTTCCAGAGTCAAGGTAAGGTTGTCGGTACATCCTGACGGCCCTCTGTGTAGCCACAAAACTTCCGGTAGCCATACCACTCAAAGGGGCCCTGCGAAACTAATTGAGCATGTATTTTTCATTGGTTCTTCTGGTGCTGCGGAATGCGCTGATATCGTTGCGCACACATGCAACTCCAAAATTGACGCGGTCATAATTTCAATTCACGGGATAAACTACCTTGCTTTCACCCTACTGCGACACATATCGGCTATTTTTTCATGGGAAGGGGCATCGTGTCGTGTGACGTGACGACAAACACCACTCGCTTTTGATTGGCTTCACGCGAGAAATAGCATGCAATATTCATACCGTGGTGGCTAGGCCATACGTGTTAATGCTAGAAACAGCAAAAACAGCAAAAACCTTTTTAATAGTTTCTCAGGAAGTAAGCATTTCTATTTCTAAGTGCTGTATTTTTAGAACAATGAACACAACACTTAGACTTTGAACCAGGCTACGGTATGCCAGCATTTAGAAGTGGAAATGTATGCCACGTTTTTATTGAGCCGAAAATGCGACAGCGGGTGAGCACTCGCGTTGCCGTTGAACCAGTCGTGTATGCAAGCCGAGAAGTGACCCCGCACAAAGCGTATGTGTGTATCTTACACAGTGTGACCGAGGGAGCGTCTGCTACCCAACACACGTTGTTCGTGGTAGGCATGCTAACGACGCCGTGAAAAAGAGTGGTAGAGAGGTATTGTGTGAAGGCTACAATGAAGCGACATTTCCGGAATCTCTTTTTGAGACGCGCGCTGTAATTGTAAGCGGTCTTCGACGTCAGCAGGCGAATGAAATGCGAATAATAACGTTTCTCGTCGTCGCCTGCTCCAGTTTTGAACTTTGAGGACTCATAACTTCGCTTTTCGTGCGCACATTTCCATTATTCTGAATGCATTCATCTTAGTAATCATCACTACACGCGTTACGGTGCTAAGTAAGACTGTCCTGAAAGTGTCGCAGGGCACCTTCAAGGAGCTCAATTCCCCTCATGTCGTGGATGCACTGCTATCTATATTTGCACGCGTCGGATTTCCTTCTGAAATCCAATGCGACAACGGTAGTGTCTTCACCAGCTGCCTTACATTTACCTTTTTGAATAAATGCAGGATAAAAGTAGTGCACAGCTCGATCGATCACCCGCTATATAATCCGGTAGAGCGTATGCATTCCATTCTGAAACGGATACTGAAAGCTCTTTTCTACGAGCACAAATGCGACTGGGAAGGGTGTATTCCTGCCGCTATGTTCGCTTTTAGATCAGCTCCTCATGAGAGCAATGATTTTAGTCCTGCAGAGCTCGTGTATGGGAGGAGTTGGAGAACAGCATTGCGATTGCTTCGCGAGTCATGGGAGGGATTTGATAAATAGCCTAATGGTGTTGCGTATGTTCTGGACCTCTTTCAGAGGCTTGAAACAACGAAAAATCTTGTGGAAAGCCTCATGAAGGCTGCACAAGTGTTGTCGAAGGTATACTACGACAAATCGGCTAAGAAACGCACCTTTGAAGTGGGTAGTCAGGTAGTGCTGCTGCGGCCGTCCAAAAGAAAGAAGCTTGAGGTTCATGGGGAAGGGCCTGCCAAAGTAATATTGAAGCTACCTGATACCAATCATGAAGTGAAAATAATAAGGTGGACGAACAAAACTTACAACAGTACCTTGATGAAACCCTAAGTTCTACGTCAAGCGGTCGTAAATCTGCTTTTTTAATGCTTCAGAGGAAGAGGGAGCAGAAATTTTGACTTGTA